AACAATAACAGCATCTACCAACCAGGGCTGAGTTAAAAAGTAGAACAGTGTTCAATCACAGTGATTATCTATTATCATCACAAAGACCGCAGCTTTGACATCACGGGAAAGACAGAACTTGAGTCCAGCCCCAAACCGTGCTTCCCTGCAGAACAGAACTCCAAGGGGGTCCGAATTTGTGCCAAAATGAAAAGTGAAAGCAATGGATAGAAATGATGTTTACTTTTAAGTTAATCTCTTAACTCTTATTTAAGTTTAGGAAGTAGCAAAACTGCTCCTCCACTAAGTACATCTGATTTCCAAGCCTCCTGGAGTGAAATGAAAGAGCTTCCAAGGCTAACTGCTCTGCAGACCAGCAGACGGTGGAGAGGGCAGCTCTAACTCCAGATGCACATGCAGGGCAACAGTGGGCTGCTGAGGGCTCATTATAAAGAGCTGAAGAGCAGAGAGGATATTTTTAAGAAATTAAAAATGAGAGTTGAGAAATCAACTACAATAAAAACAATGAAAAAAAATCAAACACTTGAAGGCTAAATAGCATGCTATTAAACAATGATTGGGTTACCAAAAAGATCAAAGAATAAATAAAAAGCATCCTGGCAACAAACAATAATGAAAACACAAAAATCTAAAATATATGGGACACAGTGAAAGCAATCTTGAGAGGGAAGTTCATAGCTCTACAGGCCTACCTCAAAAAACAAGAAAAAATGGTAATACATTATCTAACCCTACAACTCAAAGAATTAGAAAGAGAGCAAAAAGAAAAGCCCAGAGTAGGCAGAAGGAAGGAAATAATAAAGATCAGAGCAGAAATAAACAACATAGACAACAACAACAACAAAAAGATCAATAAAACCATGAGCTGGTTCTTTGAAAGGAAAAACAAGATTGACGAACCTCTAGCCAGGCTCACCAAGAAGCAAAGAGAGAGGACCCAAATAAACAAAATAAAAAATGAAAGAAGTGAAGTAACAACCAACCCCACAGAAATACAAAAGATTATGAAAAATTACTATGAACAACTCTATTCCAATAAACTGGACAACCTAGATGAAATGGACATATTCTTAGAAAAATACAAGCTTCCAAAACTCAATCAGAAAGAATAAAAAAATTTTAATAGGCCAATAATAACTGAAGAAATTGAAGCAGTAATCAAAAATCTTCCAGCAAACAAAACCCCGGTCCGGATGGCTTTACAGGAGAGTTCTAGAAAGCATTCAAAGAACTAAAACCTATCCTCCTCAGACTATTCCCAAAAATTCAAGAAGAAGGCACATTTCCAAGCTCTTTCTATGAAGCCAGCATTACTCTAATTCCCAAACCAGATAAAGACACCACAAAGAAAGAGAACTACAGGCCAATATTCTTGATGAACACAGATACTAAAATCCTCAACAAAATTCTAGCAAATCGAATCCAGCATTACATTAGAAAGATCATACACCATGACAAGTGGGATTTATTCTGGGGATGCAAGGATGGTACAATATCCCCAAATCAATAAACATGACACATCACATAAACAAATTGAGAATCAAAAATCACATAATCATATCAACTGATGCAGAAAAAGCATTTAACAAAATCCAACATCCTTTCTTGATAAAAACTCTCAGTAAAGTGGGAATAGCGGGATCATACCTCAACATAAAAAAAGCCTTACGTGACAAACATACAGTCAACATCATACTCAATGGACAAAATCTAAATTCATTTCCCCTAAGAACAGGAACAAGACAGGGATGCCCACTTTCACAACTCCTGTTTGATATAGTACTGGAAGTGTTAGCCATAGCGATCAAACAAGAAGAAGAAATAAAAGGCATCCAAATTAGAAAAGAAGTAAAACTGTCCTTATTCGCAGATGACATGATACTGTACATAGAAAACCCCAAAGACTCCATCAAAAAACTACTAGACTTAATAAATGAATTCAGCAATGTAGCAGGATACAAAATCAACACCCAGAAATCTATGGCTTTTTTATACACCGACAATGAACTCATAGAAAGAGAAACTAAAAAAGACAATCCCGTTTACCACTGCACCAAAAAAATTAAGATAGCTAGGAATAAACTTAACTAAGGAGATAAAAGACCTGTACTCGGAAAACTATAGGACACTGAAAAAAGAGAGAGGAAGACATAAACAAATGGAAGAACATACCGTGTTCATGGATTGGTAGAATCAATACCATTAAAATGCCATACTACCCAAAGCAATTTAGAGATTTAATGCAATCCGCATTAAAATATCAATTCACAGACCTAGAATAAACTCTCCAAAAATTCATCTGGAATAAAAAAAGCTGCAGCAACAAATAGCTGCAGCAATCCTGAGAAAGAAGACCAAAGTTGGAGGGATCACAATACCAGATATCAAGCTATATTATAAAACTACGGTTCTCAAAACTGCCCGGTACTGGCACAAGAATAGACATATAGACCAATGGAACAGAACAGAAAACCCAGAAATAGACCCAAGCCATTATGCTCAATTAATATTTGACAAAGGAGGAAAGAGCATACAATGGAGTCAAGACAGCCTCTTCAATAAATGGTGCTGGGAAAACTGGTCAGATACATGCAAAAAAATGGAACTAGATCACCAATTTACACCATACACAAAAACAAACTCAAAATGGTTAAAGGACTTAAATGTAAGACGGGAAACCATAAAAATCTTACAAGACTCCATAGGCCGCAAAATATCAGACATACGTTTAGCAATATCTTTACCGATATAGCTCCTAGGGCAACGGAAACTAAGGAGGAAATAAACAAATGGGACTACATCAAAATAAAAAGCTTCTGTACAGCAAAAGAAACCATCAACAAAACAACAAGAAAGCCCACTGCATGGGTGAACATATTTGCCAATGTTATCTCTGAGAAGGCTTTAATCTCCAACATTTACAGAGAACTCATACAACTTAACAAAAGGAAGATAAATAATCCAATCAAAAATGGGCAAAGGACCTAAGCAGACACTTTTCTAAAGAGGACATACAGAAGGCCGAGACACATATGAAAATGTGCTCAAAGTCACTGATCATCCAAGAGATGCAAATCAAAACAACGAGATACCATCTCACACCTATCATGGCTATCATCAACAAATCAACAAACAAGTGCTGGCAAGGATGTGGAGAAAAAGGAAACTTCTTGCACTGCTGGTGGGAATGCAGACTGGTGCAGCCACTGGGAAAACAGTATGGAGTTTCCTCTAAAAGTTAAAAATGGAACTCCCATTTGACCCCGTGATCCCACTTCTAGGACTATATCCCAAGAAACCAGAAATACCAATCAGAAAGGATATATGCACCACTATGTTCATAGCAGCACAATTCACCATAGCTAAGATTTGGAAACAGCCTAAGTGCCTATCAGCAGATGAGTGGATTTAAAAACTGTGGTACATCTACACAATGGAATACTATGCTGCTATAAAAAAAAAGAAGGAACTTTTACCATGTGCAACAGCATGGATGGAACTGGAGAACATTATGCTAAGCAAAATAAGCAAGTTGGAGAAAGATAAATATCACATGATCTCACTCATATTCTATATAATAAAAACCTAGGTGTCACGCCATCGTGCAACGCCCTCACAAGATGGCCAGCAGGGGAGGGCAGTTGGGTGCGACCAGGCCGGCAGGGGAGGGCAGTTGGGGGCAAGATCAGGCCAGCAGGGGAGGGCAGCTGGGAGCGACCAAGTCTGCAGGGGAGTGGTTAGGGTGAGATCAGGCTGGCAGGCAGAAGCAGTTAGGGCAGTGGTTCTCAACCTTCTGGCCCTTTAAATACAGTTCCTCATGTTGTGACCTAACCATAAAATTATTTTCGTTGCTACTTCATAACTGTAATCTTGCTACTGTTATGAATCGTAATGTAAATATCTGATATGCAGGATGGTCTTAGGTGACCCCTGTGAAAGGGTTGTTCGACCGCCAAAGGGGTCGCAACCCACAGGTTGAGAACTGCTGGGATTAGGGGCAATCAGGCAGGCAGGCAGGTGAGCTGTTAAGAACCAGCATTCCCAGATTGTGTGAGGGATGTCCGATTGGGATTGGGCCTAAACCAGCAGTCGGACATCCCCCAAGGGGTTGTCCCAGATTGGAGAGGGTACAGGCCGGGCTGAGGGACACCCCTCTTGCTGCTCCCCAACCCCCACACAAATTTCATGCACCAGGCCTCTAGTCTATACATATATATATATATGGCTAATATACAAAGTGTCCCCTTGGGAATTCGACTGGGAGACCAGGAATACCAGGGCTCGCTATGACATGCACTGACCACCAGAGGGTGGTGCAGAATGAAGGAAGGCCCTGGCCAGCAGCTGGTAGCCAGGGAAGGAAGGCCCTGGCCAGGGAGACCCTACCTGGGTACGAATTTCATGCAACAGGCCTCTAGTGTGGGATATAATAATCAACATAAACTGATGAACAAAAATGGATCCAGAGACAAGGTGGCACTGAGCACACTGTCCAACCTCGGGGAAAAGGCAGGAGAGGGGGGATTAGAGGTCAACCAAAGGACTTGTATGCATGCATATTAGCATGACCAATGGACACAGACACTGGGGCAGTGGGGGCTTGCCCTCGAGCGTGGGAGTGGCCAGGGGGGTTAGTTGGGGAAAAAAGGAGACATGTAATACTTTAAAAGATTAAAAATAAAATGTGAGTTGATTTAAACTGTATTTTGAGTGAAATATAGGAAATGTATACACAATTCAGATTTTTAAATCTTACACGTCTTAAACACACTATGTATCTCCTTCATTTCTGATATACTTTAACCCCAGAATTAAACTATTTTTTTTTTTGCCAATCTGTAGGCACACTGGCCCACTTCTCTGAAAGGACCTTGGCAAAAATAAATATGCTAATTTAACGCAGGCTAATGGTAAGGACAGTGGGGGGAAAAGACTGAATTTTAAAATCTTAGCAAAATTTCATTTCCCAGAAGATATAATAAAGACTTATGTCACTTGTATAAATTCAGAATGCCTTTTATATAGAAAAATTATATAAAAAATTGCACTTGTGCATAACTCTTAGGAGAAGTAAACTGTAGCTGCCTTGGAGAAGAGCCTCCTTCACAGAAGTTTCTCCAACGCTCCAGAGTCAAAGGAGGGTCTGCAACATTTGAAAAAGAAATTCCACGTCTCTGTGAGGTCGACATTAGTAATGAGCGATGAGAGAATGTCAAGGTGGCTGTGAATGTGGGGAACTCAGTCTCAACATCCTTGAGAGAAGAGCCTCAGAGAGATTCCGGCTGCAGAAAGTAACGTCCTGGCAAAGTACTGATTTCATTAGTACGATAAACACCAGAGGAACAGGTGTTTATACATTCAACACACTGTAGACAGCGGAGGAAACGGATTTTGCTTGCTAACAACTAGCTTCTGATGCTGATGTGATATATAGCCTTTGATGTGACCCTGTAGGAGAAAAACAGAGGGTTAGTTTATGTTCCTGAGTCACATCACTGATGTTGAGAGAGTTAATTATTTATTCTTCTGGCATAAGCATTCTCATAGTGCAATTCAAGTCATTGGGAGAACAATGAATAAAGTTATATACGGAGAATATAAAATATATATTATATTCACCCACCTGAACCCTCTATAAAGCCCTTTGATTTTCATGGTATTTCCTGGGATACAATTAATTCTGTCAGAAAATACCTTCACAAAGGAAAAGGGTCTGATAACAACTTTAACGACAGTGCATCAAAGCTTCACATTCTAGACCAGCGGTTGCCAACCAGTGGTCCGTGGACCACTGGTGGTCATGAGGTCTGAAAGGTTGGCAACCGCTGGTTTAAGGAAACCTTTGGAGCAGCAGTCGCCAACCGGTGGTCCACAGACCACTGGTGCTCTGAAAGGTCCAGGGGTTGGCGACCACTGATCTAGACCAAGTCCTAACCTGAACCGAGGAGCTCACGCACCATGTATATCAGGTTGGCTAGAATACACTGGACTTCATCGATGTCCACGTCTTCCACTTGCATGAATTTCAAAGCAACTAGAAAAGCATCCAGAGATAACTGGTGTGTTTTGAGTAACAAGTACCTGGAAGAGGGAAACAGAAGTTGACACTAGTTACCAACAGGATGCAAGTACTTCAAAAGTTAAGAAAAAGAGCACTGACTAAGTCAGTAGAAAACACATCTTCTACGAAACATACCACTATGAATGGCACCTATTAAATACACTCTAAAAAGAGTTATTAAATACTAGAGGCCTGGTGCATGACATTCGTGCACTTGGCGCGGGGGGCCGGGGGGGGGGGGGGTGTCCTTCAGCCCAGCCTGTGCCCTCTTACAGTCTGGGAGTCCTTGGGGAATGTCAGACTGATGCCAGGAGAGGGCCTAAGCTGCAGTCGGACATCCTTAGTGCTGCCGCGGAGATGGGAAAGGCTCCTGACACTGCTGCTGTGCTCTCCAGCCCTGAGCCTGGCTTCTGGCTGAGCGGCACTACTCCCGCTGTGGGAGTACACTGACCACCAGGGGGCAGCTCCTGCATTGAGCATATGCCCCCTGGTGGTCAGTGCACCTCATAGCAACTGGTTGTTCCACCGTTAGGGTAATTTTTGTATTAGCATTTTATTATATAGGATAATTTTGTCTTCTCAATTTGAAAAAGCCACTAGTACAAGTATAATTTTTTATATTTACTGAATATTTCAAGGAATCTAAGATGAAGGTATTTTCACATTGTACTATCTCTGAAATCTTAAAATGGATTCGATGAAATATGATCCTTGCCATTTTTTTATATACTACTTACAGCTATAAAAAGTCTGCCTTTGTTTGAAGTTTCTTAACTGAGATCCTGTTAGGATCAGGCCTTGAAGAAGAGTCAACTTCCAGTGTTACATGGATGAAAACAAACAACTGCAGAAGAATTCAACTTTCTGACAGACAGGAGTGGCAGGGAGAGGTTTAATTATGAATAAAGAAAATGAACAACTCTGTCCCACATACTCTGATAAAATGTGGAATATTTTATTCTTAGGGCTGGTGTTTTAAAATATCTATTGCTAAGTTCTCTTATCATGCATACCCCGAGTTATCCCTCCCACAAGTGAGCCTTTGCTCACGCACTGTGTGGCACCAACGCCTGGAGGCAGTGGGCGGGCCGGGGAATTTTCACTTTATTCCACACAATTAAAGGAAAAGTGATGGGACCTTGTCCACACAGACTGACATCTCCATCTCAGAAGACACAGCACCTGTTATTTTAAGTTTTCATAACCTGACAACTCTACATGAGTCATACAAAGAGTTTCAACTTATTACAAAAATACTCTGCTTACACTTTCTTAAAAAGATTCCTGTAGGTGATGATCTTCAGCTTTTCAAGGATAAGGAAGATGCCACAGCGAATAAAGAAGGTCTCATGCTTCGCTAGAGCCTCGTTCAATAGGAGGAGATTGCCTTCACTGGGTGACGGGGGAAAGATGAGCAAGCATGGTCACAAAACGAAATCCCAGGATGAGATCACACCAAAAGCAATCGGTTCAACTGCTTAATTGGTGTGTGAAATTTTATTAATTTTATATTTTAAAAAATCCCAAATAGAAAAGAATAAAATACTCTACCTTACAGCTCTGGTTACTTCAGCAAACTGCATGAGATGATACTTTTTCAAAAGCTCAATGGTTGGCATATGACCCTAAAACAAAGAGTTAATTTTCCAGAATAAGAGCCCTTTCTTTTTTAACAGAATTTGTTTTTTGGGTGTTTGGTTTTTTGTTTTTTTTTTTGGTTGTTTGCTTTTTATTTTTTTAAACAGAATTATTTTTGATAAAATCCTTATCAAGGAACTAAGTTTTAAAAACTTGCAAACTTGTATTTCTTAGAATTTCTTCTTAAGTAGCTGAACAAGGTTTGAAAACATCATAGTATGCTAGTGGGGGAAACTGGTCTAGAAATCAGAAAACCTTGGTATAATACAGTTGTGTCATTCAGTTACATATGACCTTGATCTTGACCTTCCCATGTCTCTTGTCCTTAATATCATAGGAGGGAAGTGATAACTGAAGAAATTTCTAAATTCAGATTTAGAAATACAGAAACAACCTTTAGAAGAATAAAGCTTAAAAAAATTATCTTCTTTGTTTCTGTGAAGGATAGTTAGAAGTAGAAAGGGTATGTACAACATTGTACCTTTGCCAATACAAGCTATCATGAACTAAAATAATTTTAACCAAATGTGTCCACTGCTTTGATAAACTTTTAAAAAATGTTAAATGGGAGGATAGAAAGGTCTATCCATCACTTTGAGAATGTTTTAGCCAATTAACATATTAGTTATTTGTCATTGCTTGTTAAGTACCAAAAATAATTTTTGGTGACCAAATAAGACACCTACAAATAGGCTGGAATGACATTTTCCATTCTTGGCTAATCCATTTCTATTAATGTAGATTTTTTATGGGGAGTAGAAATAATATGAACTTATTTTATTTGTCCTACATTACGTTAAATTTCTTAATTAGATACTTTAAATAGGAAGGAAATACAAACAAAGCCTTTAAAGAAGGATCTGGAAGTGTCAATCATGAAGATACATGGTTCAGGCTACACACAAAGCTATTCTTCCTCTATTCTGGGGTGGGCTCATATGCAACTCAGGTTGTGATCAACTACAAACCATCTATAAGCTTCTACAAAGTCTATAAGTTTCTTGAAAGCAAAGAGGTCTATAAGAACTGAAAAACTCACCAATAGCATTTTTACCGGGAGTAAATATATCAAAATCATCCTTTTGTTCTTCTGACTTAAACGGTGACAGTGCTCAAAGGCAAAGGACAGGTACTCCTCAGCTGCAGAGATATCGGCAAAAGTCAGACAAGAGCATCTTTTAAAATATACAGCTACTGAAGTTCCCTCTATGCTCTTTATCCTGCCATTTATCCTTATACAAAGGTTCTAAAGTTTTCAGAAACTATAAACGTCTACCATTAATACTGATAATTCATTTCTTGTTGTTGGGTACTAAAAACACTCGAACCTTCAGAGCAAAAACCTATCAATGCCTTAATAGACTTCAATATAATTTAAAAGCTTTTCTTCTTATGCTTCATAACTTAAGAAAAAAAAAGCAGTGATGAAGAATAACCAAGGAAAGTCCATTTTCAAAAGTCCTACATCTATGAAATTTTTTTTGTGAAAGAAAATTTGAAATTGGGTCTGTATATGCCTATAGAATAAAAAATAAGATGAAAGAGCTGTTATTTTTGTTATCAGAGAATCCATGGCTATAAGACATGGGGAGAGAAAAGTGATTTTATCTATCTTATATTGCCTGAAGTTATGTTGTTTTGTATGCAAATAGCTGTTGAAGAGGTGAATTAAAAAGTCTGGTCTGAGTACAATAAAAGAAGTTATAAAGAACCACCTCATGCCAGTTAATCAAAAAGTCTAAAAAGAAAAAAACTGGCATCATGTTCTTGAGAAAGCTAATGATATAAATTGCACAATAATGTAATTTCACGAAAGTGCCATTCTGATGTGGTAATGACACCATCACCTATGGCCATAAACACCAAAGACAACACCAGAACAAGGACACATTCCCACTGCTCGCCTGGGCATTCCATGGGGGATTTCTAAGCAGCACGTTGGCAGCTGAGCTACCTGCTGCCCCAGTCTCCACGTCCTGTGCCAGCATGATCAGCACAGGCAAAGGGAGAAAACAATTACTTTTATCAAATGCCAAGAATACTGCTGCTTACTTCTTCAGGGAAAAAAGATGTCCAGAATAACTGAGAGTCTGCATGTATTTCAGAGACCCAGCATGGATTAAGAAACTTCAAATACAATTTTCCTTTTATTTAACCAACTCTAGTGTCAAAAATAAACAAACAAAAAAATAACTTGAACTTGGTTTACACCTATATTCCACTTTAATAATAAATTGTAATAATTGTGATCTCTAAAACTACATCACAGAGTTGTTCAGAATGCAATGGCTTTAAAATACTGGAAAAAATGATTAACAACATACCTTGTTTAAAGTCACTATCAAACATGGCCTTTCGTCCAACATAGTACCTGTATGTTACTCTCTGTGCTGTGCTATAATCTTCTTTCAGATTTGAGCTGTCGATGGCTCTGATGAGAGGTTTACACAAATGGAGTTTGTTGATCTATAACAAATTACAATCCACTAAACATGTTATTTTAAAAAAACAGGCAGGACCAACTTAAACTTCTACTTTACTAAGCATATGCAACCTTAAACTGGGAATTACAAAACCCATTACCATCATCAAAATTGATCATATAATACTAAAATCGAAACAGAAGCCATATGGCACAGATTATATCCACTTGAGAAAGCCCTAAGAAGAGCATCAGGCAGAGGTGCTTCCAGGGCAGATGTTCCCTACGAATGAAGGCCCTCACAGGGGCCAGGGCCAGCCGCTGGTGTGTGACATAGCCGCTCTTCACCTGGCCAACTCATGTAGCAAAGAATGATTTCTTCACCCATTCATAGGCCCATATGTTCTGGCAGATGGCTCTGGAGTGAAACCCCTCATTGAAAGCCCAGTTCAGCACACCAGCACACTGCTCAATACGCAGGCACCTTAGTTTCCCCTGGAGCTAAAGGCTTACCTCATATGGCCCAGGTTTTTGAAACAAGGCCCCAGGTTTTTGAAACAAGGCGACACTTCTTACAATAGTGCCTTGCACTTAGCAGGCACTCAACAAATGTTAGCTCTTAGGATTACAAATATGGCTAGGTGATGACCATTTCCCAAGCAATGCCAGGGGAGCTAGGTGATAAGTAATAGAAATGGTATCGGGGAAGACAGGAGAAAGAAATTTACACACTATTCAAACAGAGGCATACCTTAAAGTAAATCTTGAATAATTGATTCACCAGAAATAGCATCCCCCACTTCTTAGAATCCTCTATACCAGCACGACTATGGGGAAAAAATTTTTTATCCAGTTACATAGGAAATAAGAATTATATTTATAAATTACAAAATAAACCGTCTAAACAAATTGATATGTTGAGATAAAATCTTACAGCTTAAGTCATATTTATGAAATAAAACATTTTTAAAGAAGATGTCTTATCTAATAGGTAAAATTGAAGAGTCCAAACCAGGAATTCTAACCCCAGATAATTATTAGGTAATACACTCCCTCTGCTGCAGCACCTGAAAACTGCCTAGTTTGCAGTAATAGTATGTAAAAGCTAATCGTTATAAAACATTTTATGGTTGTTTTTCATTTTTTGGTAGTGTCCTTTGAAGCACAAAAGTTTTTTTATTTTGATGAAGTCCAATTTATCTATTTTTCCTTTGGGTGCTTGTGCTTTTGGTTTCACAGCTAAGAAAACCATTGCCAAACCAAGGTCATGAAGATCACTGCTGTGCAGGAACACATAATCAAACAGAAGTCCAAGTATTTATGTAATCAATGTTTCCTGAGGGCTACTTTGGTGTGAGAGACACCATGTGAAAGCCGCATACATGCCCTCACGGACTTTGAAATCGAACAAACATCATCCAAACATCACCAAAATAATTACTTTTGGTGAGTGTAGTGAACACAAAGTACAGTCTGTCATGAAAGTTTATGAGAGGCGGAAAGCTGTGAAATAAGCAGACCAACAGATGAAAAGCTGGGAAGACATGCCAGGCAAAGGGATGGCAGTGTGGAAAGCCTCGGTGGGGAAGCATTGGGAGGAACTGCTTTAGTCCAGCTTGGGTGCAATGTTTTGAGGTGGGGCTGGTGGGGACAGAGTGGTGAGAAATGAGAAGCTGAAACACTTTTCTGGGGAGTAGAGATTTTGTTTGTTTATTTACACATGGAAAGCTTTTCCTTTCTTTGCTTGAAAATATCCTAAAACTCTCAAATAAACATAGCTTTATGATGGGTGAAGAGATGGAGTTTCAGGAGAAAAATGGAAACTCTAAAGTAGAATCAGATGGAAAGTCTAGAAGCAAAAATTAAATAGTGATCCTAGCTGGTTTGGCTCAATGAGTGTTGGCCTGTGGACTGAAGGGTCCTGGGTTCAATTCTGGTCAAGGGCACATGCCTGGGTTGCAGGCTCAATCCCCAGTAGGAGGTGTGCTAGAGGCAGCCAATCAATGATTTTCTTTCATCATTGATGTTTCTATCTCTCTCTCCCTCTCCCTTCCTCTCTGAGATCAATAAAAATATATTTTAAAATAAATAAATAAATACTAATAAGAAGAGTCAACTTGAGGCCAGGTCAACATAAATTACCCAAAATGAAAGAGAGGGGGAGGAAAGATTGGAAAACAAACAGTGTATCAGTGCCCTGTGGAATAATATCATGTAGTATAATGTACATGTAACTGGAGCCCCAGAAAGAAAAGAGAAAGAATGAGAGAAAGAAAAAGCAGTTGAAGAATATAAAAAATTAAATTTAGAAAAATCTATTAAGAAACATCAACTTAAGATCCAAGAAGCCCAAGGAACCATAAACAAGAAAAACAGGAAAATACATAGCGTGCCCGGGCCAGGTGGCTCAGCTGATTGGAGCGTAGTCCCATACACCAAAAGGCTGTGGGTTCAATCCCCAATTGGGATGCGAACGGGAGGCAACTGATTGACGATTCTCTCTCAACCTCTAATACTCTCTCTCTCTAAAAATCAATAAAAACATATCCTTGGGTGAGGATTAAAAAACAACCACCACCTGGGTACATGAGGGTCAAACTACTGAAAGCCAAAAGTGAAGAGAAAAAAAGGCAAAGGAAAGAGTCATTACATACCAACAAACAACAATAAGAACTGACGACTGACTTTTCATCAGAAACATAGAAAAGCTGATGAAATGACATTTTAAAGTCTTAAAAGAAAAAAGTCCAATCTAGAACACTCCACCTAGCAAAAGGATCCTTCAAAAATGAAGACAGAATAAAGAATTTCAGAAAAAAAGCTGAGAATTCATTGTCAGCAGACCAACACTAAAAGCAAAATGCTAAATCAAAGTCTCAGAGAAAAGAGAAATGGTACCAGATAGAAACTCAGATCTACTGTATAGGAAATATTAAAGAGCTCAAATGGCAAATACGTGAGTAAGCATAAAAGTCTATTTTTCTCCTTTCTTATTTCTTTACTAAACAATTGACTATTAAAAGCAAAAAATAAAATGACTGTGGGGTTACACATATGTAGAAGTAAAGTCAATGTCAACAACAGACAAAGGGCAGGAAAGGGGCAATGCATTATGACAGGAGACTGATAATAAATATGTCTCCAAAACCTTACTCACGTGTCACTGGCACAGACTCGGAAACAGCTCATCAACAACTCAGCAGCTTTTTCCAACATATCCCCAACTTTGCTTTTTCCTTTCTTAACCAACTGCTGATCTGCCTAATAGAATATAAAAACATTTACTTTTTATTTCTGCTAGATTTCTTAATTAAAAAAGAAAATCACAGTGCAGCTAGAACCAAAAAAAAAAAAAAAAGGCTACAAAGGTCCCAAAGGGTTCTGATGAAATCATCTAGAATTATAGTCTAGTCCACCTCTTCCACAAATCAAATCTTTCTTCAACTAATTCAAGCTAATAAGTCAACCAATTTTTTAAGCCATTGCATGTAGCCCTGCACTAAGAAGCCTTTTGTTCTCTCATTATTGACTTTCCCATCTCCTACCCACAGCTATTAAAAACCCTTGAAACACACACTTTTCAATAAATACCGAAGTCATTACCAAGTTTGACCTCTTCCTTGCTTTCAGGATAGTCTTCATTAAAAAAGAACCATTTTCTCCCACTCATACTCACCCTATCACAGGTTCTCCAAGTGTGATCTATGAATTCCTAAGGGCCTTCAAGATGCCGGCAGATAACTCACACGGTTATACTACTTTCATAATAATACTAAATTAAATTATTATTTCTTTTTATTGTATTGACATGTGCACAGTTTTCACTGATGGTGCAAAAACAATAGTAGGTGAAACCACTGGAGCATCATGCATCCACAATCCATCAATCAATTAACCAACAAAGCTAATTTCACTTTAAAATGTCCTTAATGATGCAGTATCATTATGTCTTGGTCCTTAAATACATAAGTTTTTAGTGTTATTTGTGATGAAATGGGAAATATATTCAAAGTATGTCTGCCCTACAGCAAAATATGATGGTTGTTTTAAGGAAAGCACTTGGGCACAGTTGGAATTGCCAGCTGCACCATGGAACTGACAGACAAGCAGTGCAATTCAGGCGCGCTTGAAAGTGAATGAAAGAAGCCTATTACTTTCAGGCAAACAACTGACAGTATTTGTTACCAATGGCAATATTTGTGCTTTCAAGGGAAAAAAAAAATTTTTGGAAAACTTCTATGGACCACCATGAACTTGGCAGCTTTCCATTACTTCAAGAGTCTTCTGATGAGGTCACTGTAGGTATTAACAAATGTAGTTTCTCTGGTTTTGTTTTGTTTTTTACATAATGAAATGTATCAATAGTGGGAACATCTCATAACTCAATGAACTAAAAGTTTCCAAATGTTCAATGTATTTTACAAAACCATGCAAGGGTAAAAGATCCATTCAAAGTTCATGACTCACCAGTGGATTCTGATGTAACAGTGGAAAAAGTTCACTGCTAAGCTTCAGAGCCCATACTAACTAGCCTGTAAAAAGTAGCTTTTAGAGTGTTGATACAGCTCAAAGAAGAGTATCTACAATTATCTGAAAAGGCTACTAAAATACTCCTCCCTACTCCATTTACCTTTGTGTGAGGCCAGACTGTCTTCATATATTCAACCAAAACAACATATTGCAACAGAGTAAACACAGAAGCAGAAATGAGAATCTGGGCGGCTTCTGTTATGCTAGACATTAGAGTTTAAACTGCAAAAGAATATCATTCTTCTTAGTACTTTCTGTTCATTCTAAAAATAGTTATTTTTTTATTTAAAAGTCAATTATGTTACCATGCAGAAGTTTTATTACTTTAATCTTTAGTGTTGAAAGTATTACATATGTCCTCTTTTTTCCCCATTGGTTACTGATGAGATCACTATAGACAGGCACCTGCCCTCCTATTATTTCTTATTTTAAATGAATATTAAAATTTTTCCCAGTTAAAATTTCTAATACAGTAAATATGCATAGATATAACACATACTAGAGGCCTGTTGCAGGAAGATTCCTGCAAGAACAGGGCTTCCTGAAACCAGAGCGAAGCAGAGAAGGGAGAGAAGCCCACCGAGGCAGGCTTCGCTCCCTTCTCCACTGCCTCGCTCCCTCCCTTCGCCGCTTCGGCCTCAGCTCCCTCCCTTCTCCGCTGCTTTGCTCCCTCGCCAGATCCCCCGGGCAGCATCAGGTGCTGCCGGCCCCGCATTGCTGGGTCATGGATCCGGGTCCCGCGGGCAGCGTCATGCGCTGCCAGCCCCACCTCACCGGGTCACGGATCCAGGTCCCGCGGGCAGCGTCATGCGCTGCCAGCCCCACCTCACCGGGTCAGGGATCCGGGGCCTGGGTCCCGCGGGCAGCGTCGCATGCTGCCGGCCCCACCTCGCCAGGTCACGGATCCAGGGCTTGGGTCCTGCAGGCAGCGTCATGCGCTGCCGGCCCCGCCTGCAGTATGCAAATTTAACGGCTATCTTTGTTGGGTTAATTTGCATACTCTTCTGATTGGCTAATGGCGTAGCGAAGGTATGGTCAATTAGCATCTTTGTCTTTTATTAGTGTAGATAACACTATAATTTCAGTTCTAATGTTTCCATGTGGTTCTTCTTTATATCTTTTCTTTACTGAGACTGTCTACATTTTCATTTGTTTCAAGCATGTTCGTAATTGCTCCTTTAGGCCTTTTTATGATGGCTGGTGTAAAATCTTTATCAGGGAATTTCAACATTGTGTCATTTCTGTGTTGGTGTTTGTTGATTGTCTTCCTTCATTCAACATTTCAAAAGGCTAAGATTTTCCTGATTCTTGGTATGATAAGTATTTTTCAATTATACCCTGGACATTTGGAGTATTATTACCTTACGAGGCTGTGGATCTTATTTATCTTGTTTCAGCAGGCCTCTGCTGACACCATGCCAGTGGTAATGGGGACTCCACGTCTATGGCACTGGGTGGGATGGGGGTCTGGCTCCCCAGAGGATGGGGCCCTGCAGACTTTGTATGGAATGCAGCAGGAATTATCAAAGAGGTCTGTCTTGATGAGCTGCCTTGCCCCTTCCTGCTCTTCTTGGGGCTTCTTCATCTCTGTGGGTTGGTATTCCCAGATTTCAGGTTTCTCTGGGACCAGCTAGGTCAGAGAGGTGGCAAAAAAGAAATGCAGAAAATTCACTGCTCACTGCTCTGCAGGTTCATGTCCCCTATTTCTCTCCACCTCTCAGAGTCATATTGGCTTTAAAATTCCCAGCAGGAGAAATAGGAAAAATGTGCTTATTCCATCTTGTCTAGTCATAGAGTCATTAATAATTTTTAAAACTGTAAAGGGGTCTTAGGACCAAAATGCTGCTCCAAAACTGGCTGATGCTGATCCCTAAGGGGAAAGCAACGCCATAAAAGCCAGGATCTTTACCTCCTCACACCAGAGAAATCCTTAGCTATTGCTTCAACCTACATTAAGATGGAATTCTTTAAGACAGGGGACAGGCCACATCTCAACAGTAGAAGAGAATCAGAATTGCCCATCTATTACTGTTCCATCCCCTTTCAAAAAAAATCTTGCATGTCATAAATGATTAGCCATATAAAGAAACAACTCCCTCTATAGCTACAGTGTGAAAACCGGTTTACTTAAATCTGTTCACATCAACCCAAAAAGAAAAGTTGAGACATCCCTGTTATTTTGTTCTCTATATCAGATATATCCCAACCCCCACTCATGTCTCAAAACTCCTGTAAAGAATGACATGAAAGTAAGCAATAGACAGATACCAAGTCTGGGTTGTAAAACAATAATGATAAAAATTGAACTTACATTATTGGCAAATACTCGAAGATCAAGTGCTACTGCATACATGACAGGCAGAGCCCTACAGGGGCAAAAAAATACAGGTGTTTGAAGAGGCTACGAGGTCAGAGAGTCCATTACCAGAGGTGGGACTGACATCTACACACAAGGCTATTATCCAGAACAGGAGTTAGCCCCCCTCCAATAATCCAATGGCTACTGTTACCTTCCTCATCATCCATCAGGGCAGCTTGCAGCCCTTGTGCTTCCTGATCAACACAGAGGCCAGACACTGAAGCTCTCTACACCTACTACCCCAGGCCCTCCTCAGAGGCTTAGACCCGGGTCCACGTAGGGGCCCTCAGACTGAGGCAGCACTTCCTCATTGCTCCCAGGACATCCTCCTTCTCTACTCTCCACAATTATTCAAACAACTCCATTAAAGCTAGATGTGGTTTAGTAAAATTTCCTAACAGCAACCAAAGTATGCAACAGACAAAATGTCATAAAACAGATTTTTTTAAAATCTAGCTGGCTGTGTTGGTCTTCTTTTCATGGGTAAATAAGCCTTCACTTTAAAAAGGGGCGTGGGGTTTTGTTTTTGCCTTTTTTCCAATATAAACAAAATTTCAGTGTTTGCCTACGGTTTGTTAATAAATCATAAAATTAAGAATTAGTTTGGCAAACAATTTAAAATAACCCAATTATTATGTATTATATCACCCAAATGAACTGTAGTGATCTACCTCTTTTGTCCAAGTTTAAAAGCAAAAATAACAATTGAAGGGGAAAAAATTGTATTTAATAAATATTTGGGGGCATGCAAGGGCTGAAATAAAAATACTTCATTTTTATATAAACACACTGCAAATAATCTGGCTGATCTGCCATTTAAGTTTACAATGACTATTAAAATTCCATTATCCATGTTGACATTACATCAATACATATTAAATGTCCACATAGAAAATATGATACATATTTAACTAGATTACATTTTTTTAAAGCTTCTGGGGGGGAAAAAAAGAGGCTAATTTCTAGTTGTTTTTGTTCATACTTACCAGTTTTCTTCTTTGTGGGCCTGAAATGCCCGCAGGAATGATGTACTACATCAAGGTATAACATATAAAATTTAAATAATGCTACAAATAAGAAGAATAAGTAAGGAGAATTCTAAACTTTCAGGGGGATAGCTCACCATTTAAAAAATTATAAACTCACAGCAGTAAGTTCTTGAGGAAAAAAATGTATAAACCCACTTACAAATATCTGAGTATCATAAGGTGCAAGTACTAAATATATTTATTTCATACATACTTTTTTCAAAGTAAGAAAAAGACCTTTTTCATAAAATAGTTTTTTAAAAAATGATTTGAAAAATCCATGCAAGAGAGAAACATAGATCAGTTGCTTCCTGCATGCCCCCTAGTGGGGATCGAGCCTGCAACCCTAAATGGGAATCGAACTGGTGACCGATCAGTGCATGCGATATCATTCAACCAACTAAGCCTCACCGGCCAGGGCACAAGATTTTTTTAAATTGGCAATCACAAACACTTTATTTGGTTACTCTGATCCCAGATGATCACAACTTTCATGTAACTAGAGGCCCAGTGCAGGAATTTGTGCACAGGTGAGGGGGCTCCCTCAGCCTGACTGGCGATCGGGGGCATTCGGGACTGATCAGGGCCGCTGGCCAGGGGGAGGGACTGCAGGAGGTTGGCTGTGGGAGCGCACTGACCACCATGGGGCAGCTCCTTCATTGAGCGTCTGCCCCCTGGTGGTCAGTGCATGTCATAGTCTGATCACCTGGTCTTAATGGTCGCTTAGGCTTTTATATATACAGATGGGCTGTGGAATCTATAGTACAAAGTTTAATTCATCAATTATAAAATTGCTGAATTCAAAGCAGACCTAATAGTTAGCAAACAACTCTCTTCTGTGTATATTTAAACAAGATGGTTTAAAAAAAAAAGCAAACTGAGTCTAGAGATACATATAAATACTAGGACACTCACTGACTAGGGGCTTAGTTATAAGCTTTCACTTCAATGATTTAAATCAGAATTTGGCTTGATTAGGTCTTTTTTGACCACAATTAAATGATGATGTGTGTTGAGTCCACTTTTGTCCATCTATACCTGGATTCTGGAGTTCTGATATTCCACTAAGGGAACGGAACCAGTCCCTGTAACTACATTTAATGCTTTAGAGGAAACAAAATATTCTTCTTCATAAGAGAATTAAATTAAATCCTTAATCATAACCAAATCCTTATAAACTTAACTAGATGATAGGCTTAAGACCTATGCTAAATTTAAATACCAAGTAAAATAGGTAAATAGGAGTTTGTCTTCCAAAAAGTTTTAATTCCTTTCCTAATTACAGGGATAAATAAAATTAGCCCAAGGTCTCAAAATCTTAAACCTCAAGTAATCCACTATATTGTATAAACTGAACAATTAACAGATGACAAAAGATATTGGACGATGACAGTCTGGCATTTGTATGCCTCTATGAAGTCATGGTTCCCCACTGCGTACGTGCACCTGAAAGAGAAACATTGGAGCCTGAGGACTGAAGCAGCAGACAAGGCATTCACAGGATAAAATCCTAGAAGTAAACTACATAGACCACACATCTTCTATCACAAACACCCCAGTTCTCAACTGATCCTGTAGTGAAAGATGGACCTTCTGCTTGGAAGACTACATAAGTTGAAGAAACACACAAATAACTATTTGAAGTAAAATGGGATGGTATGTTAGGAAATCCCACATTATGTTTTGAGATTATTCTTTCAAGTCCCAGAAGGAGAACCTAGCTGCCAGCAGGTTTTATTAGTAACATGAACTGATAATACAGTATGGCACTTTAATAAGTGATGACTCTCCAACTAGATGCCCAGCTGGTCAGAGTCATTATTAGTCAGTTCATTAGCAAATCTGGAATCTCATGGCATACTGCACAGAGCTAGGAAATTGAAGGGTACCTTATACTACAAAGAACCCAGTGGCTCCCCGACTTTTCCTAAGATCTCACAGGGCTACCCGACCTTGCCTCCCCACCCCACCCACACCCCAACTCCAGCCTGCTCTGAAACACTGGAAGGATTGCAGGCAGGGAGGCAGTCAAACACCACATACTGTAAGGACATAAAACTTTGCCTGAATTGATGGTTTAGAGATAAACGTAGACGAAATGAAATGTAAATAAAAAGTAATATCTTATTTGCTCAGCTGTAGTTTCTTTCTCAGTTAGGCAAAGAGATTAAAAGCGAGGCATATTTCCCTGAGAAAATACAGTCAAATGTGGGCTCTACACCCTACTAAACAAAAGATCACTATACAGCCAATATAATGAGTATCAAGTGTTGGTTTTTTTAGTGACACACAATAGACATATAAATATACATGATCACAATATAATTTTAACTTTTGAAAATATACATGATACTTGAAATTTAAAAAAAAGTTTATTAAAATCTTAGTTTTTTAAAGTTTACAAAATTTTCATAGGCTCTACCGAAGTGAAATTGCAAACACACTTTTCTACTTTTCCAAAGTAATTATTCATTGTTTCAAGCATTAGATGATGTTAAATAAAATCCTTAGTCAATTCAGCAACTCCAAGATGTGCTTATTTTACTTACCTTAAATGAGCTGCAAACATTTCATCATAAGGGGGTTCCAAAACTTGTTGACACTTCTCTTCTGGAGAGGCCAACTAAACAAAATGATAAGATGAAAAATGGCAAAAATAAAATTAAAAGGCATGGAAAGAACACAATGTGTACAGATTTAAACAAACCTATTTCAAAAGAATATAGACTTTACAGTTAACAGTAACACTTTACAGTTTAGTACTTCTAAATAAAAGGTTCACTATTTCAATATCAATCAAGCATGAACTATGGATAGAGCACTAGATTAATACAATGTTTTGTCTACCACAGGCTAGGAAACAGTCTAGGCACTTCTATACATACCTTAATGTTTCATACATACCTTAATAGTTCTTGCCAGTCAGTCAAGAAATATTTAATAAACAGCTACTATGTGCTTAATAATTAATAAATAAAGTGTATAATACCTTACATAAATAAGGTCTAATGAGTTAGAGAAGAAGGCATGTTAGGAATCACTCCTTCTCAGCTTCCTGGTGATAGAACCACCCTCTCTCTGTACTGGTTTAGACTAGTTGACATTTACTTCTAACTCTTTCCTCTCAATGACCAAATTTTAGGTAATATAAGCTTTACAATGGATTATAAAGCACTCTGAATTTAAAAAAAAAAAAAAAGGAATCAATGAGTCTACTCTTACACTGATACAATACATATGTAAATGTGGGAGGGAAAAATGACATCAGAAAAATCACCATTCTACAATCGCTAATGAAACAATTGATTCGGACAATGGCCACCAGTGAATGGAACCATCAGATGGAAGGTTAATGGGGAATTTTATATAGAAGAAATCAGCCTTAGATTATAAATGGACAAACAGACATGTGTGTCCCTGATGTACACCTGAATCTCATCAAGTCTCTGGCACTAATTTCTATTTAGAGCAATGGTTCAATGTGTTCTGCACATTAGAACAACCTAGGAAACTTTTAAATTATTTTTTTAAAAGCCTGCTTCTACTACAGGAACTGTGTGGGGTTTTTTGGTGTGTGTGTGTGTGTGTGTGTGTGTATGTGTGTGTGTGGTTTTGTTTTTGTTTTTTGGTTAATCCTCACCTGAGGGTTATTTTTCCATTGATTTTTTTTTTTTTTTTTTTTTAGGGAAAGTGGAAGAGAGAGAGAAATGCATTGATTGGTTGCCTCCTACACAAGCCCTGACCAGGGCCCAGACCGGGGAGGAGCCTGCAACTAGTGTATGTGCTCTTGACCAGAATCAAACCAGGGACCCTCTGGTCCACAAGCCAACGCTCTATCCACTGAGTCAAACTGGATAGGGCTGTTTTGTTTTGTTTTTTAAATATATTTTTATTGAGTTCAGAGAAAAAGGGAGTAGGAGAGCGAGAGACAGAAACATCAATGATGAGAGAGAATTATTGATCGGCTGCTCAAGAACTGTTTATACGGTCAGAGGTGCAATCTACAGGCAGCCAAATATAATCACCAACAGATAAGCTCAAATTCTAAACCTGTCTTAGGAAGCCAGGTACACTGTATCCCGCTCTGTGCTTAGTCCTTTCACCTACCTGCAGCCGTGGGTTGGCAACATGAGGATGCTTGAAAGACACCAGCTCTGCAAAGGATTCCCCATCTCTGGTTTCAATTGCTTCATAGACCTGACATTTGAGAAGAGAAAAGCTCAGCACAAAATAAAATACTCTATTTTAACAGAACCTAAACAACACTTTGTATACCACTAAAATTCATTTTCCCTATTTTGAAAGAAGCAAGAATCAAAATATAACAAGTATTCGCTTTAGCCAGCAAACAATAACTACCTTTCAAAATAAGATCTTCCAAAGGCAAATAAACAGGTGACTTAATATTAAAAACCATGAAAAAGCAGAATAAACCAGCTTATTATTTGATGATTCATGAAGGTGAATTATTCTAGTTTTACTCAGTCATACCAGCAGACATTTGAAAATTCACTTTCATAGCTTATGGGGAAAAAGAGCTTATAAACCACATATTTCCAAAATTCAAAAGGCTTCCACTCAACCTAAATATAAAAATTGCAATGGCAATGGCTAAATGAATGGTGTCATAGTCATACAACAGGTAACTGTGTGCTGTAAAAAAGGATGAAATAAATCTACATGTAATAACATGGGAAAGTGTTCACAATATGCTTACTGTTAAGCAAAAGGGAAAAAAAAAGTTAGCCACAAGAAAACTGTATAACTTGATCTGGGAGAAAAAAGAAAAAGTATGTATGACATGTATGCTCAAGAAGAAATGCAGGACCCATGTCACAGCAGTTGACTCCTTGGCCAGTGCAGTGAGGGCTAAGGAGGCTTTTATTTTATATATTTCTATACTGGAAGACTGTTATAGCAGACATTTATAATTTAAAAAGCAAATGATATTTTAAATTATATTCACCAAAAATGACATAAAAATCCCAACTATATAAGTGAGGAGAAAGCAAAGCATAAAGCTGCATACATATATTAGTACCAGAGGCCTGGTGCATGGATTTGTGCAGTGGTGGAGGCATGGCCTGCAGGGATCAGCCCACTGTGGAAGCACCACTCAGCCCGGTTAGCCGAGCAGCTGAGGACCCGCCCTCTGAGCAGCTGCTCCCGCTGCTCATCCTGCAGTGTCTGCCCTCTGGTGGTCAGTGCCTGTCATAGTGATTGGTCTTTCTGGTCATTCTGCTGTTTGGTCACTGAGCTTTTATATACAGAGTGGCCAGATTATTATGACCACCCCATTAGTACTTCGTTGGGCCACCTTTTGCCTTCAATACTGCGGCGATTCATCTTGGCATTGACTCCATGAGATCTTAAAAGGTGATGCGAGGAATCTGACACCATGCCTGATGAATAGCACTGTCCAGTTCTGTGAGATCTGATGGTTGTGGAACCAGCTGCCTGGTGGCTCTTTTAACTTGGTCCCACAAATGCCCAATTGGATTGAGATCTGGTGATTGTGGGGGCCACCTAAGCAAGGTAAAGTCTCCCTTATGTTCTTGAAACCACTCCTGCACAATAAGAGCACTGTGGCATGGTGCATTGTCTTGTTGGAAGAAGCCATCTCCTTGGGATACACCATCAACATGATAGGATGAACTTGATCAGCAATGATACTTAGGTATGGTGTGGTATTCAGATGTTGTTCACACAAATTAAAGGGCCCAAATCATGCCAGGAAAACATGCCCCACACCATAACACTGCCCCCACCAGCTTGAAGGGTTGTACTCATGCATGTGGGGTGCATGCTTTCATGCTGTTTCCGCCAAATTCTCACTCTGCCATCTGCATGCTGCAACTGGAAATGTGATTCATCGGACCACATGACTTTTTTCCAATGCTCAACTGTTCAATCCTTGTGTTCCTGTGCGAATTGGAGACGTTTTATCTTGGTAACTGCAGACAGCATAGGTGTTCGAACAGGCCTTCGGCTTCCATATCCCATATGATGTACAGCTAATTTGCCTTCAAACGTCAGTTGGTCATAATAATCTGGCCACTCAGTGTATATAGACTAGAGGCCCGGTACATGAAAATTCATGCACTGGGGGGTGGGGGTGGGGCAAGTGGAAGGGGGGGGTCACCTCTGCGGGAGGTGACCAGTGGGCCGATCAGGGGACAATGTGGGCAGCCAGCGGCCAGCCCCGCCCCCCCATTGTGCCACCACCGTCAGTGGCCTCCCTCTACAAGAGGTGACCCCGGCAGGCCATTCTGGGGAAGTGAGTGGCCGGCCCTGCCCCAAATCGCCCCACCACTGCTGACGTCCGTGGCCTCCCTCTGCGGGAGGCGACTGGGTGGGCAATCAGGGGATAGCGCTGGCTCCCATTGCCCCGCTGCTGGTTGCCACACTCCCCCCCACCACCCCATCGCCATCCCCTCCCTCTGCCTACTGGCATGCGCCTTGGCGAGCCTGTCACCACCTGCTCGCCAGCCCCACCCTCTGCCGACCTGTAGTTCCGCCATTTGGTTGATTTGCATATTATGCGTTTATTATACAGGATAATTTATCTACAAAAAGAGTAAATATATGAATTTATGCCCACACAATGCACATCATAAAGAGAATATCCAAATGGTACATACCCGAGAAAGTGCTCACATCCAGCCCCACCAGTAAAATGCAACAAGATACCCATACTTACCCACAGAAGAGTTAAAATGGAAAAGGCTGACAATACTAAGTATTCCAAGAATATAAAGCAACTAAACCTCTCACACATTGCTGGGGAGGGTGACGTGGCATCCACTTTGGGACACTGTTTGGTATGCCTACTAAAGAGAGCACATACTTACTCCCCCACCCAGCAATCCCATGCCCAGGCACCCGCAGCCAGAAAAAATAGAGGCAAAAGCCACCAGGACACCAAGGGGACCCAATTCCTCATCTGTTGTACCACTCAGACCATTGACTGGGAACACTTACACCACCTTATCTAATAAAGAATTTGGCACTTAACTATTCAACAAAACTATATAAGCACTTACATTTTGAGCCAGCAGTTCCACTTCTAAGGATTTACCTTACAATAAGAAACAAAAGATGTTTGTGCAGGATTACTTGTTGATGTATTCTAAGTAATCACAAAATACAGATTCCATAAGTATTTTGGAAGGAAACTGATAAAAGCTGCCAAAGTTCCCATCATGGGGTGTAAAGGTGGATGGATGTGTGCTGGAAAAAGGGTAGGGGTAAACAGAGGGGTGGCAACAGGCTAGCTTAACAAACTGATCTGTCCCTCAATGGACACTGAGATCATAGGCAACCCTGTCACCTGCTTTAGTCAGTTAATGTGTTATGTCCCAGAAACTTTGGCCTTTTAAACACCTCCCACTGGACCAGGCAGCTGGACTCCAGCTGAACCTGTTTAGCAGCACTCTGTGGGCCTGACCCAGGGACTGCAGAGCTCACCAGTGAAGCTCTCTGGCCCTGGGCACTCCTAGGAATAAGTTCTCTTTCTTGGCTGCTGCTGGTCACCTCGAGAACTCCAGGCTCCAAGCTGGTCCATGGGGGAATCAACTACTCTGGGAACTCATAGTTCCTCAAAAATATATTTACTAGCTCTGTTCCCTTAAAAGGCCTAGAAGTAATGATTCCCAGTAGCAATAAGCACACCTAGCACTCAGACTGGTTTTCTAGATTCCATTCTCCACTAAAAGGAACCAGAAGTCCCTGGAGAAATAGCTGAACCAGTGCTGGAACAGGGAAAGAACTAAGTGAGAGTGGAATAGATATTACTGCGCCAGAAAGCAAAGCAGGGCTCAAAGAAGGATGAAGACATATCAAAAAGCCACAGAAACCAGTCTGAAAGGGCTCCCAGTGTCTAAATATGAGACAATTTGAGCTTCAATAATAATATTCTTAATATTGGTAGTGGATTCTAACATGCCCTAAAAAATAATGCATAATGATACTTTTAAAAAGAAGGGCAAAGGGGAAAGCATTTTTTTAACAGATGAAATACTAACAAATGTAAAAGAATGATCACTTGGCAAACATTAATGTAATAACTGACTTGGAAAATGCCCACAAATGAAATCTAAAACCATTTTGTAAGTCTTGAGGAACAGAATGCTCTTAGATTCTCTTAGTCCATCCAACAGCTTCCAAATTAATAACAAGGGAAAAGGTACCTCGACACCAGAGTGATCTGATGGACATCAAGTGAATCAGTATCATCAATGTGTGCCTCTGAGGTGAGGCTATGGGAAATTCACACTATCAAATTTAACCTGAATCTAATCATAAGGGACAGTCAAAGGCAGACTGTGAGACATCTATAAGTCAACTGGCCAGGACATTTCAAGAAAGGTTAAATGTCATAAAAGCCCCCCCCCAAAAAAATGGCAAAAGGACCCTTTTAGATTAAAGGACTAAAGAGCAAACAAACCAAATGCCATATATGATCTGTCTGGATCCTGGGTTTAAAAAAAGAAGTTCTAAAGAAGAGTTTAGGGAACATGGAAAATTAAACTACAGATGCTACATTAGAAAAATACTGACATTAATACTGATGTTAAATTTCTTGAGTGTAGTAAAGTCACTGCAATTAGACAGTGGAACAGCCTTGGTCCTAGGCGCAGTAAAGGACCATAGTGTCATCCACTTTCTTTCAAATGGTCTGGGAGTACACATGCCCAGAGCAAACATGGTGGGTGGGCCAGGTGAGGGGTGTTATATGTCTTTTTTCTACTTCTTTCAAGTTTTCTGTAGGTCTGAAAATTTACAGAATAAAAAGTTGGAGGAAAAATGAAAATTTTAAATGTAAACAGCTTTAAAAAGTAACAAGGCACCCAGAATAATAAATAAATAAAACAAAAACGGAACTATGTGTGGGCAAGAGAATGTAAAAAATGAAAAAAAAAAAAAAAACCCAAAACATTCATATTGGTTTTCCAGTGTCTAAATCCTTGCTCAACTTTAAATAAACTGATCTTGCTCAGCTGGTGTAGCTCAGTGGTTGAACGTCCACCCATGAACCAGGAGGTCATGGCTGGATTCCGGGTGAGGGAACATGCCGGCTCAAACCCCAGTAGCGGGCATGCAGGAGGCAGTTGATGGATGATTCTCTCCCTCTCCCTTCCACTCTCTGAAATCTATAAAAACAAGTTTAAGCAAACAAACTGATATTTGAAAATGTTAAGTCTGCAAAGATAAGGCCACAGTACACTTATCCTTAAGAAAAGGTCTTAGGCCTCAATTAAAAGGCTGGCAAATGAATGTATTTTTGTGTTTTAAGTTAAAATAAAAGCATGTGTCTGTTTTCTCATGATTCCTGTTATAATCAATGTATTCAAGCTTTGAATACATACATAACTGTATGAAATATACTACTGCCATTTACTGGCTGCTGTATGGTCAAAACCGCCTGGAGAGACATTTCCCAAAGGATACAAAGTATGCCAAGTGCTCACACAAAGCGTGTACTGAAAGGTAGCTATGACTTGAGCAGTGGTTCTCAACCTTCCTAATGCCACGACCCTTTAATACAGTTCCTCATGTTGTGGTGACCCCCAATTTCATTGTTACAGATTTAACATAATTAAAACATAGTGATTAATCACAAAAACAATATGTAATTATATATGTGTTTTCCGATGGTCTTAGGCGACCTCTGTGAAAGGGTTGTTCGACACCCCCCCCCCAAGGGGTCGCGACCCACAGGTTGAGAACCTCTGGACTAGAGGCTCGCAGTCTGGACTCCTTGCTACCTCCACCTCCTGCTTCCACCGCCGTCTCTCCGAAAACAAAACCTCTAGGTCAGGCCTCTGGGTCAGGCCTTCTTCCCTGGCTACACCGGGGCTGAACCCCTCCTCCTTCGCGTGGCTAACGGGCCCTTCAGCATCCCCTATGACTAGGGACCGCTCCCCATACACGCGGACGTCCCTAAACTGAGAGCTGCGACCATCGGAGAATCCCTGGGTCTCCAAGAAACACGGCGGCGCGTCTGCTTCAATCATCCTTGCTTCTAGGGTGCTGTCAGCCAAGAGACTCAGCCGGACGGGAAGTGTCCATCCAGACCCCAGCCAGCCACGAGCCGGCTGCCCGACCACCCGACCCCAAAGCCCGGCAGCCAAAGGAAAGAGGCGAACACCCTGCAGATCGCGCGCCGCCACGAAACAGTGTTACCTGCTGCAGGTACTGGTTGATAGTGATGTGCGCCATGGTGGCCCGCCCCGCGCCGGGACCAGACGGAACAAGCGCGCAAGGCCTCACGTCACTTCCGGCTCGGTCCGTTCCCAGCCCGGCTCCCCAGACCCAACTTTCCCCGCACGTTGGTTCCGGAGGCAGTGTTCGTGGGAGCGCGAGCCCGGGACCGGCGTGGCGATGTGCCCGGGCTGAGGAAGGCTGGGCTTCTCTCTGCTGCAAGGCCTCCAACTACCCCTGGACGAGGACGCCTGGTCCGCGCCCCCTGGGTGCTCCGGCCAGCCCAGGGCGCGCTGGTACCCCGGGCCTGATAGGGCTTTTGCTCCGCCGCCCCCCTGACTGTTGCAAGTTCCACACGGACCCCGGCGGACGCGGACTGGCCGCGCTCGCGAGCCCAGGGTCGGTGGCCAGGTCGCGGCCGGGGCGGGAGCCGAGCGGGGCCGGGCCTGGCGGAGGCCGTGCGGCGGTTGGGCCGGGCCGGGGCGGCGCTGACGGGACCGGGAGTTGCCGAAGGGAGCGGAGGAGGGAGGCCCTGCCGCGCGGCTCGGGGAGGAGGCGGAGAAGACGGCCGGACGGGGCGGGGCGCCCACTGCTTCCCGGCCGCAGCCATGGCCGACGAGACCCCCAGGAAGGGCAACTTCTCGGCGCTCGTGGGGCACACCAATGGCCTCACCAAGCCAGCGTCCCTGGCCGCGGCCGCCGTCTCCTCCAAGCCAGGGGGCGGCGGCGGCTCCAAGAAACTTGTGATCAAGAATTTCCGAGGTGGGTACCGGGAGCGGCCTACGGAGGGAGAACCTGGTGTGTCGGGAGGGAGTTGGGGGGCGAGGGCCACGGAGAGGAATTCGGGGGGCCGGGATGGAGCGGGGGCGGCTCCGGGAGCTGGAGGCGTGGGGCCAAGTGGCCTTAAGGCGCCCGTGGCGGCGCCGGGCGGAGGGAGTGTTCGCGGGCCTCCCCAGCTGTTCGGCAGTCTCCCCGGTTGGCGGTCTTCGGGGCCGGCCCGGGGCCCTCGCGAGGGTGCGGGTCCGGTCCTCCCGGCGAGGGCTCGGGCCTGGGCCTCCCCAACTGCCGGCTGGACCTGCGGCGCGGGCTGTGGGCCGAGCTTCCTGGGAGCCGCCTCCCAGTTGGAATAAATGAGGCCGAAGACCCAGCTCTCGGTTCGCATGGCCGAGCGAGAACGAGGAGCCGCCGCTGGGGCCCTCCGGGATGTAATTCTCATTACTTCCTCCGCCTTGCACCGGCCCTGTCACTGCTGCTCTCAAAGCCAGCGTCTTGGGTGCAGACGTCGTCATTCTAAGCTTCGTCTTCGCTTCCCAACTTTGAGTACTTGAAAGCAACTTTACGTGTTGTGCAGAGCTTAGCCCTTACACGTTTCTACATGTATAAAGTCAGCTTAAGTAAAGGGAGACTTGCATCCAGGGACGGGCAAAAGTCGGTTCTCAGATAAATAACACAATAACAAATACAGTAGTTGATAATTAGTCATACAAGAATCGGTTGTTTTTTGCATGCTCACGACCGGAAACCTACTTTGCCCACCTTGTGTTTTCTGTGTATTTACCCTAAGTATTAATATGAAGTGTATTTAGCAAGACGAATGTACTGTGGTTGCAGAGTGTCTGTAATGTAACACATTTATAAATACAATACTTTGTATGAGAAAAAAAGCTAATTTCTGTGTTTCTTAAAGTACGTTTTTGTAGACCATTTTTGGAAAGATGTATGACTGTTAGCATGGATTTCATTCACCACTGACTATCTGGATTTACAGACAGACCCAAGTTGCCCGATAACTACACTCAGGACACCTGGCAGAAGCTTCATGAGGCAGTGAAAGCCATACAAGGTAGTACCTCCATCAGATACAACCTGGAAGAGCTCTACCAGGTAAGGCTCCACCAGTGACAACAAAGCTGAGCTTATTAGAGTCCTGGAATTTTCTTAGATGGGGAGAACTGTAAGACATGATGATGCCAGCCTCCTGTCTTTCACTTACCTGGTGTTTATAGTTGTCTAAACAAACACAGCTCCCCAACTCCAGTGAAATGTGATGCAGATTTGGATTGCGTGGTCCTGGTATTGTTTCTGAGTCAACAGTGAAGGGAATAATAGAAATGCAATATTTACCTCCAACAAGAACAGTAGAAATCCTATGACAGCATGTCCCAGATCAATGAGTGTTCTCATTTTTTGGTGGTGGTGAGATTTTTTATTTTATTTTCAGGCTTAAGCTCCTAGAAAGATATTTAAAGTTATCCCATTACAGGAGAGAGATGTGTTTCTAAGAGCCACGTGACTTAACATTTTCCAAATATGCAGCAAATTAATGTTATAATTCTATTATGTTATATAGAAGACCCTTATTATAGTTTCACTTGTTAATAGATTTTCCCCCTACTTCATTGTGTTTTGTGATTACTTGCTGATATTAAAACATGCAAATAAATTTTGTTACATTTTAAAGTAATGCTGTTCCATTTCTAACATAAGAAAAATGATGGAAAGTAATTTTACTATTTGGATATTCTATTTACAAGTAGGCTGGTTTTTCTGACACTGTATCTTGTTTTTAAAGAATAACATTTGTTAAGTAGTCTTAATATCTACATTTTGGGTAGCAATATGATATCACAATTCCTATTAAGAGGCATGAATTTTAAACCACAAAAAAGTGCCAAGAAGAAAATTAAAACTACCCATGTTCCCGCCACCCAAAGAAGATTACTTTTTTTTTTTTAATATATTTTATTGATTTTTCACAGGAAGGGAGAGAGATAGAGAGTTAGAAACATCGATGAGAGAGAAACATCGATCAGCTGCCTCCTGCACACCTCCCACTGGGGATATGCCCGCAACCAAGGCACATGCCCTTGACCGGAATCGAACCTGGGACCCTTCAGTCCGCAAGCCGACGCTCCATCCACTGAGCCAAACCGGTTTCGGCAGAAGATTACTTTTGACAGTTTGATGGTCCCTTCTTTGTCTTAAATTTGTGTGAGGTTATTATATGTTTTAGTTAACTTTTTTAATGTATATTTTCATATACTATGTACTTCAATGAGTGTTAACAAATGTATACAATTGTATAACCACCACCACAATCACAAGATAGACAATTTCCATCCCTCCAAAAAGTTTCCTGAGGCCCCTTTGCATTCAGTCCTCTCCCCTGATTTCCAGTCCTTGGCAGTCACTGATTTGCTTTCTGTCCGTATATTTTGCCATTTCTAGAATCTCATCTAACTGGAATCATGAATTTCGCAATCTTTTATACCTGGCTTCTTTCACTTAGGATGATGCGGGTGAGATTCATGGATACTGTGGCAGTAAATTGTTTCTTTGTTGCTGTGTGATAGGGATACCACAAAGATTACCGTTTCACCAGCTAATGCTCATTTGGGTTTCCAATTTTTGGTTGTTATGAATAAAGCTGTTGTGAACATATTCTCATTCCCCTTGGGTAAATATCTATAAGTAAGTTGTCAGAGTAATGTGGAAAGTGTATATATAACTTTATAAGACATTTCCTATTTTTCAAAATGGCTATAGCATTTTGCATATTTACCAGCAGTGTATGAGAGTTCAAGTTGTTCCACATCCTTGCCAGCATTTGGTATTGTCTGTCTTTTCCATTTTAGCTATTCCAGTGAGTATGGAGTACAGTTTCATCGTGATTTAAATTTGTATTTCCCTAGTGATACTAAACATCTTTTTAGGTGACCATTTGCATTCTCTATACCTTCTTTAAATAAAGTTTGTGTTCAGATCTTTTGCTCATATTTTATGGGGTTGCTTATTTTGTATGAGTTTGTTATATGTTCTGCTTGAGTTTATTGTGTATTCTGGGTACAAGTCCTATACTGGATATTTGCCTTACAAATAGTGCAGCTTGTCCTTTTTTGTTGTTGTTGTTGTTGTTCTACAAGTCTATAATACATCATCTGTATATTACATTGCGTGTTTACCACTCAAAGTCAAATATCCTTCTGTCACCATATATTTGACCCCCTTTACCATTCACTACCCTTCTGCTCCCCCCCACACACAACTTTTCCTTTGATTTTCTCAATTATGTCTTTCAGAAAACAAGTTTTAAGTTTTGAAGAAGTCTATGTATTAGTTTGGTCTTTTATGGATTGTGCTTTTAGTATCAATCTTAGAAACTTTGCCTAAACTAAGATCATAAAGATTTTATCTTGTATTTCCTTCTAGACATTTTAGGAATTTAGGTTTTATATTTAGGTCTATAATCTGTTTTGGGTGAGTTTTTGTATGTGTTGTGAGTTATAAATCTAAATTAAATGTCTTCCCTGTTCAGGGGTGGGGAATGCCCAACCCGAGGGCCAAATAAGGCCCACAAAATAATTTGGTCTGGCCCTCCAAAGGCATTAGGGGTAAGTTAATTAAATATTTGACCAAATATAGCAGGCTAATTTTTAAGTTGAGAATTTTGTGTGGCCTGAGAATGATTTTATAAATACCCAAATGGCTCTTGGCAGAAAAAAGGTTCCCCACCCCTGCTATTGAAGAGTCCTTTCCCCCATTGAACTGCTTTTGCTCCTTTGTCAAAAATCATTGTCGATATATGTTTGGGTATAATGAGTCTCAAAATTAGGAACGTTGGCCCTCCAAATTTATCCTTTTTCAAAGTTGTTTTGGTTATTCCGGGTCTCTTGTATTTCCATATGAATTTTAGAATCTGTTCATCAATTTCTACCATAAAGCCTACTAGAATTTTGATTGGGGATATGTCGATTTATAGATATGTGTGGGAAGAATTAATTCTGATGTCTTGACCATGTGGAGTCTGCCAATTGGTCACAAGGGACAGCTTTCTATTTAGGTCTTCCTTAATTTCAGCAATGTTTTCTAGTTGCAGTGTATAGGTCTTGTATATCTTATGTGAAATTGATTCCTTATTTTATGTATTTAATGTGTTATAAATGGTGGCATGATTTCATTTTCTGGTTCTTGCTAGTATGTAGAAATACAAATGATTTTTATATATTGATCTTGTATACTGCTATCTTGCTAACCTTATAGCTAGTAATTTTTTGTAGATCCCATCAGATTTTTTACATAGACAATCATGTCATCTGTGAATAGAGATAGTTTTACTTCTTCCTAATCTGCGTACCTTTTATTTCCTTTTCTTGCCTCATGGCACCAT